ATATTACGAAATACATCTATTTTTTGTCATCTGTTATTATTATTTTGTAAAAAACAAAACCATCGAAATGTATCAGTCAAACATTTAAAACAAAAAGACACTTGTGCCGAATGTTTATTTTTTGTTTCTGCTTTTTTTAAATATATTCTGTGGTATAATACTTATTGGCATCTTTCTTTAATATAACATGTAATGGATTAAATTGTGTAGCTTTACGTTGCATTGTGTCAATATTATTTGTTTCATGTGATAGTAATGGTTGTTTTACATAGGATGTTCGTCGTGACTGAGATGCACTACTAGTTATTGATCCACCACCAATTGTTCCTTCATTTTCACTCATTGTTGCATCAATTAAACTTAAATAGGCACTTTTAACTGTTTCATCTAAATGTTCATGATGTAATAATGGTGTTAATAAAACATCTTTTTCCTCAGATAATTCATCTATAGGTACATTATTTGGAACAACAATAGCAGATAATGTTGTATTCGACGGAGTAATTGAAGGATTTTCACTAAGTGGATTAATAACAACAGTTACAGGTGAACTTGATTCTGATTTATCAGGTAAATCAATACCATAGATTTTTGGTGGTTCAACTGATGTAACTGTTTTATTCACTGGCGGTGGATCTTCACTTAAATCAGCACCATAAATACCACTATCAGCTGCTGTTAATGCTGGTTTAGCTGCAGATGATGGAACAATAGCTTCAGAATTTATATCTTTACCAGTTTTTCCCGTCTGATCTATACTTGTTGTTGTTGTTGCTCCAGTAGTCGATTTAAAACGAGAAGTATTAACATCAGATATTTGTACTGTTCTTTCAGGTACTAATTTCTGTTTTACAGGTGCTGCTGCAGGAGTTGGTTTACTTGATTGTTCAAGAAGTGGAGCTTTATCAGATGTTTTTGTACCTGGTTTTGATGCACCACTATTTGCAGTTGCTGGGGATGGAACACTTTTCTTTCCAGCATTTGTTCCTGGTGAAGGTGATGCAGGAGATTTCGATACTGGTGTTCTCATTCGTCGTCTGGAATAACAATTAAAATTTATGATAAAAATTTCTTTATTAAAATCAAATCTACCTTTTCAGGAATATAAATATACCTATACCAGCAAGTATAGCAATAGTAAGAACAATTACACCAGCAATAACACCAATAATAATTTCTACAAAAAAAAAACATGAGAAATTTTAATTTAATAGAGAACATATTTAATTAAGTACCTTTTTTATATGTTCGTTTTGTTGTTGTTCCATTTAAATTTTTAATTTCATTATTTTCTATTGTTGGCATAACAATCGTTGTTGATACAATAGCTGTTGATGTTGTTACTGTCATTACGGAAGATATTGATGGTTCTGATGATGAATCAAATGCAATACCATCAGGATCATATTGTGAACGTACTATTGATGGAACAACTAGAAATAACAAAAAAAAAAGAAGGACATTGATATCAATTAATTCTAATGACTTATATAAATACCTTTATATCTTATTTTAAAATATCGTTGTTTTGTTGATATAGTTGTTTTTAATGACATATATAATGAATTGGACGAAATAAGAAAACGTGTATTCGGTGATGGATTATTTGATGAACGTTCAGCACCACACCATGTTTGATATGATTTCCAAACTTGATTTGAATTTCTATCTGATATTGTATTATCAGACAAGGAATTATTTGCTATTGAATTTAAATATCCAAACACCTCTAAATATTCTGATCGACATTTAAATGCTTCTTGTAATTTAATTTGGATTGGAGTTAATTCAATATACATCGATGGATCGGCTTCTGAAAAAAAAGTCAAAAGAAATAAATTAATATATGTTTATTGAAGCTTAAAATTAAATCATACCAATATTAATTGAACATGCTAAATTATCAGCCATTGGATGTGGATAAGCTGGTGAAACAATAAAACCATAGAGTGTATTTCGTATAGGTTCTGTATCTATACACATTGTATGAACTAATTTTTTGAAAAAAGCAAAAAAAAATAAGGCTAATCATATTTGTCTGTGAAAACTTTACTTTGTGTACAAGTATATTTCACAAAAAAATATGTTGGTGCATAATTTTTATCACCACATTTTACATAATTTCGACTAGATACTTCAATAATACATGTTTTATTTCCTTCACATGATGAACCATCAATTGTTCCTTGACAATGAATAAGATAATCAGAATGAATATCAGGTTCACACATTTGTGTACGACGATGGACTTTACGTATTGAAACGTCTGTTAATAAAGCGGTTTCGTCAGGACAAGATAATTGATGACGACCTTCTTCAGTTGCACACCAAAATTTATCATAAGTTTTTGAAAAAACTATTTAGAAAAAAAACATAACGTCGAAAATCAATACATATATATTTATCATAGTTGGAAAAAAAAGAAAATCATTCATCCTCAAGGGATAGAATGTGATCTTATCTTCCAACCGCATATATATATTTCTTTAGATAAACAAAAAAAAGAAGTTTTCTTTAATGATTTTTTTATTCTTTATATATATAAATATAAATTTATATTAATTTATGAAGCTCTACAGACATACACTCGGATGTCATATAAGTGGATGTTAAGATAAGATTTCTTCATCTTATAAATATTTGTCTCATCATCTAACTATTTCAATGACATAGAAGACAACATATCATTATGACTACAGATTAAGAGCAAATATGACATAATGACATTTGAAAAGTATTCATAAAAAAAACATGCAATTTCCCAGGATAATATGTATATTTTTCCTATTAAAATAACTATTTTTCTTTAATATTAGTCATTTACAATACATACCAAATTGTGAACAATAGCATAAACTGGTGACAATTGCCAGAATATACTCAGGCCGAAGCCATACGACCATCCTACATCGGATGTTTATCCCTTATGTATTTAATTGGTTTCACTTCGAATTATAATTATTACCATGATGATCGTTAAAAGTGATACAGTCTCTATTGTACAATTAACATCTGAAATAAATGAATAACATATATATATATATATAGCAATGTGATGACAAACACTTGTTATTTTCCTTAATATTAACATATTGATTATATCATCTAATAATATACCACTGATCGTTATTTGTTCTCTTGGGTATACATCGATATATATACTGAAAAAGAGAGTCACATTTAAAAAAGAAGAAGAAGAAGAAGATATTTATTCTAGGATTTCTATGCATGTAAATGTATGACGAAAGTAATAAAAAAAAACACACAATTTCTCGCTAATAGACTTAATCTGGGTGTATGATTAAAATCATTATATTTATACAGCTCATCTATCAATACATACGATCATCGTTAGTTTTCTTATTCGGTATGATTAATATATATATATGGATATGTATCCTGGAACTATGCGTCCATCTCGACTATTTGCCCTTGCGGTAAAAATCATTTACAGATCTCTCATCTTCTTCTCTTTCTGCATACTCTCAGTTTCTGCGCGTTTATTATGATAACATACTGGGGAGATCGTTGTTACTGTTGCTTACTGTCCTTAATATCACACATACAGATATATATATATAGCCCTACTGCTTTCTGCGAACCCATTATCATAGCAATAATCATAATGAGTCGATGAGTTGTTTTGATTATATACTGAGATTTCGACTTCAGGCAATACATTCATTTCTCTCTGATGGTGATGATGCGTAGTAGTATTCTATTGCATCGAATTCTATACATTCTCTATCATCATTTTCTTGTCTATCATAAAAGAAAATGACGAAGAAGAAAGATGATCATAGAAAACGAGCGTATCTCTCCTCTCTTTTTTTTTAATGTCTCGGGTTAACCAAACAAACAAATAAACATAACATAAAAATCGATTTAGAACGTCTATTTGCCTGCAAACATGCAGAAAGCATTCTCATATGTATATACGTCGATATACTGAGCGATTCCATCCTACTGCACACACGCTAACACCGAGAATAATTGACTGATGATTTTCTGTGAAATGATGACTATGATAATAATGACGATAGTACAATATTCATACTACTTTCTGTCTGTTTCTGTCATTTTATATTATGAATTCAAATTTTGAATGAGAACGATGCCATACTCTTTGGAGTGTGTTGTAAATGTAGATATATCTCGAGAAAGAAAATGTGTGTGTGTGTGTGTGTGTGTGTACATATGTATTGCTTCTATATGTGTGAATAGATCGTGCTAACTTTTTTTTCTCCTGAAATAACTATTAACAATGAGAGTATATAATGGCAATCAATGAAGTATACGTTCCAGGTATATTATATAGAATATTATGATGAGTAGCTTACCCATGTTAATATCATTATACTCTTTTCTTATAATGATATCTTTATCTATTAGAATCTTCCTCTTTTTTTCTATAAATAGAAGAAAGAGATAGATTTAATAAATAGATACATATAAGTATTTTTACACTCGTCTTTTTCTTGTTCAGATATAAGTGATGGTTACACATTGTCGTGGTTGAAAATAATGTCGGTAGCAGTCGTGATGAGAGTGCCGATGGCAGAGAGAGAGACAGAGAGAGAGAGGAAGGGAGAGAGCGAGAGCGAGAGAGCAAGAAAGACAGAAGAAAAGATCTTTTCGAGCCGTGCATGCGCAGTTACTGTTGGAACATCATAAAAAAACTTCTCAAAAGAGAAACGCAAGAAGAAGAGAAAGAATTTATTCTTTCTCTTATTTTTCACGCCCGGAAAAACGACGAGAGCAATGGCTAGTAGAACATAGAGAATAGAATGGAAAATCAATGTGTCGATCCTAGAAAAAAAAAGAGGAAAGAGCTAGAGAAAAGAAAAAAAAGGAATTATTCTCGTCATTCAAATAGTTTTACACACAAGCACACATTCATCGATATATTTATATATATAGTTACATATTTCCGTTTAAATTAGCTATAAAAAAAAGAAGAAAAAAATATTTATATAACTAATCTTAAAGAATAACATATTATAATAATGAAAAATTGGAATTGGAAAAAAATGCCTAACATGCAAATTCAATATATATATCCGTAATGAAAGAACTCTATTAAAAGAGATTTAGTTAGACTAAGACGATTTATTCGAAATAAAAGAAAAAAAAGTGTATACATACAAAGTCCAATTAAAGCCGTCTGATATTAACATATATTATGATCTTGTTCTTTTGTTAAAATACCGAAGCCGAGATAAGAAAACCGGAAGGAGAGTAATATATGAAAGATCAAGACTGGAAGCTTGAGATCGACATAATATGTAAAAGTACGTAAAAAAGAAAAGAAATTGTATATGTACGCATATATATATAAATGTGGTAAGAATGCCTTTAGCAAAGAAAAAATGTCTTGAGTATTAAGATGTTCACCTTTAAAAAAATTCTAAAAATACACATGTATTAAAATGAAAACATGCTATTTTCATCTTCTGCTACACAAAAAGATGATTGACATAGCTATAAAGTCGATGCCAATTGTCAAAAGAATATTCATTTTTTCTCTTCAACAATCATGTTATTTCGTCTTAACGAAATCTCTTGGGAACTAGACATCGTTCGTTCATTTATAGAAACATACAATATCTGTGCAATAGAAAAAAGCAAAACATTAAAATTACAAAGATCTCCGGCTTTTTTTTTGATGTGTCTATTTTTTACTACATCAATAATAATTAACGAGTAAAAGAAAACATAAGTATGTTTTATTCATTTACGAACTACTTCAAAATGCAAAGAAAAAGACAGGAGAACAAATAGCCTTGATTTGTCAACTGCTTTCTTTCTCAGAAGTTCATCACAAAAAAAAAAACATCAGTAATATAATGTCAACTATGACAATGACAATAAGAATCAATCAAAATTATTTTATCGTTGTCTAGGAGTCTGTTATATATTTCTTGCATGTCTGTTTTCTTTTATGAATGAACGCACATAATAAATCATTTTTGTAGACAAGGAGAGAGGGAAATATTAACTAAATTGCTAACAATGATTTCATATGCTTTCTATTGTATATTAATGATGAACATGATATAGCTAGCATTGAGATATATATATATACAAAACTAATGTGAAAATCTAAGAGAACATCTATATATATCTGATGAATGGTGGATGCTGCCGCTGGCTAGTTAGTCGACCGATTAGATTGAATTGTACACACTTTATCAATGAATCTCTTTCTCTCGTTCTTCTTCTTCTACTTCATTCTTGTTAACACATTAATTGAGAGACGGATGGGATACAGCAGGCTACAATTCGAGAGGTTCATTTTGCCTTTTTGGTAAAGATGAGTGGAAGAGAAATAGCGTAAGTAGGATGAATGGTGGTAGCAAAAGGAGAGAGAGAGAGAAAGCGTCAAATAATCGATTCTGGCTTTCACTCTCTCACATGGGTGTCTCTAATCATACGCATCTCGCATCAATAGTAAAAATAAAGAAGAAGGGAAAAGGAAAAGATACAAAGAGTTCTGATCCCCTCGTGACAAATTAGTGAGTGCGCTGTTGTGTTGGACAAATGCTCGAAAATTATTGATGTGTGTATTCATTTATTGAAGCAAAGACACATACACACATATATATATATACATTATGTACAATGATCTTCATTCTCGAGTGTATTATTATTATTATTATTCAACTTCTCATTTTAAACAAATCGAAAGTCTACATAGATAGATAGATCTATATACGTACTCATTCATACAGATTCTGATTTCCCAAGTGACCTAAAAAAAGTCCAGTGACACGTAACAATAAAGTGTCTTTCCATTAAACAAAACCAATTATTGTATCAGTTTTATAATCAGTTCGTTTCATCGTTAATCAATACTGATTATCGTGTTCCATCTTTGTTTATTAACAAATCAATAGTTATAAAAACAAGAGTATTTTCGGAAATAATATATATATATATTTATGAGAGTACACAAACAAACAAAAGAAAAAGAAGAAGAAAAAATCGTTTGCACAAAGAATAGATATTTTTTTTTATAAATATATAGACATATGGATGTATGTATGTATGTATGAAAGGAAACAACATCAAATTTATAATAAAAAAAGCTAATTACAATAAGTATTCATTTTTTTCTGTTTTAGTTTGGTTCGTTGTGCATTTAATAACTAAGGTCTTCTTTACGACCAAATTTTAGAATTAACGTACTGTAAATAAAGGAAATTGATAGAAAATAGAATTTCGATTGATAAAAAAACAAAAACAAACCTGATGAAAATAGCAAGATTTTGACTAAAAATGGCTATTCCAGGATATAATTTATCACTTTTATATGGAACATAGTAGCCAAATAATACCCAAGCTCCACCAATTAAAGAACCAAAGGCAAGTAAAAATGCAATGAAAAGCATAATTCGAGCACCTAAGAATATAATATCATATCTGTGTCTATCTAACAAAAAATAAAATAACATACCAACTTGACCCATACAACTATCGCCATATGAATCACCTCTAACTTGAGAATTTGATACAGCATTAACCCTAAGAAAATAAAAGAAAATATTTATTTATTTTTTTTACATTGTAATTAATTTACAAGATCAATGCCAATGTGCCTACTGAACCAATGATGTAATATACTTTATTGAAGTCAGCTTGCGTAGGATATTGGCAAGTACTGTCAATGATTATCCACCATCCAATTGCAAACTAAATAATATTGAAATAGAAAAGAAAATATGTAAATTGACTTCATACAAAAACACCAGCCACAATTGAAGCAATTGTATTTCGATGGAAACGTTCACGTAATTCCACATTTTGACAACAATTACCACAGTCGAACATTATTTAATAATAAGTAGTGACTATTAACTAGAGAAAAGAGAAAAACAGAATTATCAGCTGAGGCTATGGTTTGCTATTGATATATTGATTATTTATAGATGGATCTTGATTTTGACCAATCAAATTGAATTATATCTAATAAATGAATGTCTTGTAGCGCTTATATACAATAAAAAAGAGGCAGAAAATAATTAATCTTAAAATGGAGGATGTCAAGGATCTTTTTTTTTGACATATTTTATTGATATAATTTTGTATAACAGATGTCATTATTTTCGATACTTGTGCCCATTATTCGATCAGTTTTTTCTCGATGGACAGCTCTACAATTAGCTGTCAGTCATTCAATGGGTGGTCCGGAAAGTGAAGCTAAATATGAAGCATTCATTGAAGCATTTGGTCAACATCTTATACGAAATATCCGACCATCATTATCAGTATCTTCTATGGAACAAGATATTCAAGAATATCTTGATGAAATTCTTGATGAAGAATTTAATACAGTTTTAGATGATGGTTCAAGTACTGAATTATCTCAAGTATTCGTTCGTTATATTCAATTAATACAACAAGGTAAATTAGCTGATGTTCAACAAGAACTACAATTACAACATTCAATAACACCAGCTATGCAAATGTCTGTTAGAAATAAAACTGAAGATGATGGTTCATCATCATCATCAGACGATAATGATGATGGAGATGACGATGATATGAAAGAAGAACAGTCAACTAATGAACCGAAATCACAAGCAATGGATGTTGATGAAGACGGTTGGACAACTGTACATCGACGTAGTGGAGGAAAAAAATGATAATTGTTTTTGTTAGGAAAGAAGAACTCAATTCTTTCGAAAAATAATAATAATATTTTTATTATTTATAAACCTTATGAATTTCAATAGGTTGCTTTTTAATTCAATAGTAATAATGACTATTTCTAGATGGGTCCTTTTAACTTTGGAAAAGCTCAATATTCTCCTTACTTTTTTGCTGCATCAATTGTGATGTTTTTAAGTACATTATGTTGTATATCAGCATTTGCATCACCATATTGGACAAAACGTTATCTTGATACACCAAAAGATTTTCAAAATATTGGCTTATGGGAATTATGTTTATATAAATATCGTCATTATAAAGATGATTTACAAATTCCTTATACTGGTTGTTTTTGGTTTTGGACTAATGAAATGTATCGTTTTCGTGATTGGATTATTCCACGTAAATTTTCTTCGAAAAAAAAGAAGAATTCTCAATAAATGTTCTTTTTTTGTTATAGCTTGGTTTAAATGGGTTCAAGCATTTGCTACATTAGCATTCATTTTCACAATAGCAACTATTTCAAGTTTAGCTATTGCAGTTTTCTCATCATTTCGTTGGCAATGGAGATATCAATTAGCATGGTGTATTATTTCTTTTGTTATATGTAAGAATAGATTTAATCATAAAATTTCTATGTCTTTTTTTTTGTTTCACAGTTGCTTTTGAACTGATTGCTATTATAATCTACGGTATCTATAGTCAAGATCGTCTTTGGATGCCAAGGCCAGAATTTAATTATTTGTCATATAGTTATTGGATTGAATTTGCTGCGCTTGTTCTTGCATTGGTTGCCTGTAAGAGATTAGTAATTTTTGTAAAAGATTAAGATTTAAATTATTTTCTATTAGGTGGATTATTTGCTGGGGAAGTTAATTATCTTCGAGCACCTTATGAAGGAGATATAGACGAGAAAAATGATAATGATGAATTGCACCATTCACCATCAAATGGATCTCATATGCAATTAACATATGAACGTAATCGTCGACCACGATCTGAATTGTAAATTTATGGTTATAGTGAATAGATACATTCCACACAGTTTACTTTTACCTTTTCTGACACATTCCAAAAATAGATATTTGTGTTTTTTTTACTAATTCTCGATATTTACTATCTCAAATTGTTTTTTTAAATGTAGATTTTATTCTTAAGGTCTAATGGATTCATAATTTTGTTTTTTGATTATATATATTGTAGTGCTATTTTATGTGTTTTTTTTATAATGCTACTTATTTCTTTTATACTGATCGAATGATGGCTTCGCATCAAATATATAATGTAAAATAAAATAACAGGAAACCGGATGTAACCATTTAAAATCAAACACTTATTTCATAAGTGTTTCGAGGTATATAGAACTGCGTATTAGATAGAGTCACAGAGTCGTAATCATTTAGAAAATATTTGACAGTTTGTTTCTATTCAAAGGCAATATAATTATTAATTTATATAATTAATAGGAATGTAGCGAAAAAAATGAAAAGTTCTGGATAATGTTTTTTTATTGCGGATGTAACCTCGATTATCTACAAATTTCTACTTTTTATATTATATCTTGTAAATGCAATAATTCATCTTGATTAAATCATGATGTAATAAACAAATTTCTGCTAAATTAACCGATTTGTTTTCCTGTTATAGTTTCATGACATTCATTTTACAATTGTAAATTAATATCCTTAATTCATCATTGAATGCAGACGTTATTAATAGATATTTAACAAAAATCTATTGTAATATGAATATCATAAGTAATAATTAATAAAAATTATTTTTACACGTATTCAAGGTTAACTTATATTTTATCGAGATCATTTAGAATACAATGTTTTTACCAAAGTGAATAAACGATCATTGAAATATTCGAATTAAATTAGATATAAAAAAATATAAATGAACGACGCAATAAATTCTGATCATTAGTTCAGAAATGTTCTAAGGGAAGCAATTTACATATTTTGTAGTAACGGCGGATTGCCTGCAACTGAATTCATCATAGTTTCGCGATTATATATCACAAAACAGTGGAATTACGGGAAGCAATAATCTTTTATTGTTTCCCCAAAATGTTTTTAGGGGAAGTAATCGATGCCTCTTGTAGTACTCATGTGCCGTCTATGTCAAATCGACATATAATATATATATACATATCAACTAATAATTTATGGAAAGTGAAGGAAAATTTTATTTTATTATAAATCATTATAAATTATCTAGTGGACAGTAGTACCTTTGATGTCATGATTTAGAAATCATTTGAGATGAAAATAGATAAAAACATTACAATGATAATGTCTAGAATTCTCTCTGAATATTTGAATAAAATTATCAGTACCCTGTCAATAATGAAACTTAATATTGTGAAAGATTTCATATGTCAATACAGTTACATCATATCTAGGTCAATACATTGTTATGCTTTCATTCTCTCCTTATGTTAAATAAAATTCGCGCATAAATATTTGATGAAAAAACAGACTAAATCTAAAATACTGTTAATATTTATTATGAATACATATATTACAAGAATTATAGGTAAACTGTAAGCTTAATATTTAATACTATTATCATTGTCAAATTTGCACTGATGGTAGTTATTAGAGTATCTATTTATATGAATATAGCTTCTCGCATTTTATGGATAGGTATCTTCTACTAAGATGATTATTGGATAATATGTTCTATGTGTTAATACATAGTGACATTTATAATCTTGAAGTAATATCTAATATCAGCGAAAATTTTATGTGATTAAAATATAATGTTCATCTAAAATCTTAAAACTGCTTATAATACGAGAACATGCCAAGTGTTAATTATAAAAAATATTAATTGAAATATAAAACTTTCAAAAATATGATTTTACATTAGAATAAAATAATAAATCATAATCTAATGTTCATATAATTAACATCATAGAATAATTTCACATTTGATACATTGACTGTAACTTTAGATTCTGATTCAGACATTCCATATTTAATCGTCATTGGTCATAATCTTAACTGAAGTATTGTGCATGATTATTCAATATTATTCTATCAAATCTGACAATAAACTTAAAATGAAAGGTAGGGGATGTATGAAGATTTAACACTGACACCTATTTATATCCAAGGTTCATGTTTGTTTGTAAGGAAATTTATTACGGTAATAGAAAATTTTTTCTTAAATAGCAGATCGTGTCATTCAATTAGGTCGATCAATTATCAGTAGAATTTCGAAAAACAAAATCATTCAATAAAAAAAAATAGGGCAATTCATGGCAATAAATCAACGCATGGATGTAATTTAATAATAGTTGAGCGATAAAATAATTTATTAAATCAACATTGAATATTTCATTTTAAAATTTTCATCTAGAAATCACGGTATTTAACAATGGGTTTTTCAGTTATCTGTTGTGATTGAATACTAATCATGAATCAGATATAATTTTGTTTATGAATTATTTTTTTCTTATTTAACAAAGATTGTATATTTAATATAAATCATATTCATTGAATTGCCAATATAAATTACTATGATCTTTCACGGACAAATATTTTTGTACTTGAATTAAAATAGGAAAAAATTTATGAAATATGATCTTTATTATAAATTGTTGAAGAAGATATCTTCATTGATATTTGATCAAGCTGTATTCTAATGATATTTGATGGTATATCTTTCATAATTCATTCTGTCAGCTGATAGTCTGAAAGTAACTGTGGATATGAATGAGTAATCTTCTTTTCATAGCTTATCGATTCATGAAAACTAGTGATTCACATTTTGTTAATATATATCCATCATAGCTAATAATATCATTCTATATATTAATTTTCAAATTTTCATTGATCGTAATTCGATTCAGTCTTGTCGCATTAAAAGCAATAGCTTTTGACACTCAACTCTCGTTATAGATAAAGTTCGTAGGGTTGAAGAGATTTGAAAAATCTATTACTAATTATTCGTCTGAGCTTGGATAATATACTGTCTTTTTTTTTCTTTATATTGTTAATTATTCATTCAGTAATCTTCTGTCTATAATATATGAATTGTTGATTTTATAAGTAAATAATCAAAGGCGGTTGTATTTTTTAGTCCTTGTCGACATCAAATCAATTAATATTTCGACGCTGATTTGATTGTTTAAAAGACGAGAAAAATAAGAGCAAGTAGGTTCAATTTCCGTTTTGAACTATTTGCACATCAATAAATATTTATTTATAGATTGAAAATTCAATATGTAATACGTTGTAAACAGACAGGTTCAAACAATCTTAGTAGAGAAAAACTATCTATATAACCATAAGCATTTGATAGGAAAGATAATTGCCTCTAGATACCATTAGAATAAGTCATTAATCAATGTTAAGATAGAGATAAAACGATGCTACAATTTATTTTTCTTGATAATCTTATCAAGCTTCGTTCTTATACATATCTGACTCATTTTTCTATATAAATTAGTAGACTTTTAAAATAAAGTATTTCATTATGTTTGTTTTTCGTCTTTTTTATATCATGCAACATTCATATTATCGTTAACTGCACATAGAAAATATAATCTTAGTTCTTCATTGTCGTTAATACTTTTTTCCTATGAATAATCACAGATTTTATCATACATGAAAAGTAAGTCACGCTCTTTTTTTTCATTAATAATTGAGATTAAACAAAAATTCCATATTCGATTTTTAAAGAAAAAGAAAAAGAAGATTTCTCAACGTCTTAAAGTAAATGTTCTATTAATATCTTATTTATTTCCTCTTATTTTTTTTTCTTGAATACATATTGTATATAAAATAGTTAGTAGATATTTATTGATAGCAATGGAAAACGTGTCGTAAGTACAAACAAATAGCAGAACGGAAGTAAAAGTTAGTTTGCTTCGATCGACAACATCCGGTACGATTGACGACTGCTAGTGATTTAATAGTTTTTTTTTTGCGTTGTTCAAATGTGATAATAACACACATATAGTATTTATTCATCCTCCCACAATCTGTTTGCTCGATCATAAAATCAATGATAGAAAATAGAATATAAAAAAAAAACAGCAACAAATTGATTTTCTATTGAATATATTCACTATCAAAGTTGTTTTCTCTTCTAACTCTTATTCATTATCGCATTTAGAGAGATATTAACGGACGTAAGAAGCCGTGTCTAATGTAAATTTCATTTATGAAGAATACCAAGAAAAAGATTTCTTCCGTATATCTAATCGTGTTTGGAAATAAAAACTAGAAAAAAAAATTAATGATTTTATGCTTCGTTTGAAGAATAACACTTTACTATAAATATCCAAACTACTCTAAAAGCTCAATGATAGACAGTCAAAATATTGTAATAACAAAAAAAAATCTAACTGCAGAATAGCATTATCTAATATAGCGTACTGAAGAATCAAATACATAAAAATAAACAATTTCATGTTGAAAATTATGATGTTCTTAAAATAACAAAAAAAGGATAGAAAATGCAAATTTACGTCTCGATAAAAAAAGAAATATATAGGTTGATCGTGATTTGAATATAATAGTATCTAAGTGGAAGGAAGATAATGTAATGAGTTGATTATAATTTCTGATGAACAAACATTTTTAGTGGGCAGAAAAAGGTTTGTTTCACATATATAATCAGTCTTGAGATTGTTTTTTAGCAAGTGAGAGTTTTTCTTCTAGAGACAAAGAAATAAAAAAAAGAAGAGCGACTATCTTGTTATTTAGATAATAAATTGATGCATCAGTTCGATAAATCTGACAAGTTGATCATGATATGTGGATGATCATATACATTTGTTATTTTTTGTTTATCTATTAGACTTTGTTTCTCCACAATAGGCACCTGTAGATCAATGCTTTTGTCATCAGTAATATCAACATAGAAAAATACGCACCGTGAAATCGTTTATTAGTTTTCAATGGTTACCACAGCATTATGCCTCATATCAAATAAATGATAGATCGATTGCTGTACATATAGAGCATTGACACATGGCTTCAATTACTGATAACAATTCTCATATTATAGTATAGGAGTTAGTGCTGTCAGTTGTAGATAGATATACGTACGCATCTATATAATTTAATATTAAATAAGACATATCATAAGACAAAGATGAACTGAATCTCTAATAAGTTTGAAAAGTTTTGTATTATATAATCATTATTGATAAATGATATTGTCTTTACCTTCTTGTCTTAGCTTTTTACAAGACAAAAAAAAGAGTACCATTATGAGGAGAAGAAGAAGAAGAAGATAAGAGAGAATTGATGATCATAGAAAAGAGAAAGAAGAAATAGAATAGAGAAACAAGAAGAAAAAAAAAATGCAAGAATAGAGAAATGTTCTGAATGAGATTCATTCGTATTTTCTTCTTATTTTCTCGAACAATCAGTTAGATATTCGCCATGAATGGCACATCAAATCTGTATTCCATTCAAAATCGTAATAATAATAATATACAATTAATCGATCGTCTTCTAGCAATTTATTCATTATTACTTATATTAATTGGTACACCATGTAATCTTCTTTGTTGTATTATATATTTTCAAAAAGCAAATCGTTCAAATTCGATAAAAATAATCTTTGGTTATTTAGCTTTTCTTGATACGATTGTTTTATATACATTTAATTTAAATTATGTTATTCGAGAATTTAATAGTGATTTTAATATAACTAATATTACATATAATAATAGTGATAAACATGATAATAGTATCTATGTTATTATTATAAAAAAGAATCTTGAAGAATATTCAGTATTAATCTGTCGATTTTTATCCTATCTTGGTAAGATATATATATATTGAAATACGGGAGGAAAAAATCTATTGTTCTTTTTATATATTTAAGCTTTTTCTACTTTACAAACATCATCATGGGTATTAGCATTTGGCTCATTTAATCGTTATTTATTAATAAAAAAGCTATCACATTTCGAATTCATTTGTAAACGACCTTATACTATAGCTATATGTTTATTTTTTACATGCTTATTTTTCTTTTCAAATATGCATATACTTTTTATGAATGGTTACCGTTCATCTTCTGGTCGTGTTACATGTTATGGAAATCTGAGATTTCCATCATATATGGTATTATATCAACGTTTACATTTATTTATTTATTCACTTTTACCAAGTTTTATTTTATTTATATTAAATACACTTTTAATGCGTATTATATTTGCAAGTAAAAAACGTTTAGATAATCATAGACGTTTAGTTTTATTTGCTGCTGCAGCAACAACAACATTACCAACAGATCATCGAAAAAGTTTTCTTGCGTTACAACATTTATCATCAGCAACATTACGACGTCCAAATAAAAATAATCCGGCAAGATTACTTAATCGACATAGTCGAAAATTAACCATGTCATTAATATTTATAACAATATCCTATTTTACTTTAACATTTCCATCAACAGTTATTTTTTCATTTATTCGTCCATATATAACACGAGGTGATGTACGACGTACTCTATCACTTTTATTTACGAATCTATCAACAACAACACATACAATACGATTTTTTATTTATTTTTTTTGTTCAATTGATTTTCGAAACGATTTCTATAATTTAATTTTACCTAAACGATCATTTCGTCTCAATTTTATTAAAAATCAAGGACGTCAACAACAAAGAAAAAGTTTACGACAAAGTCTCAAACAAACTGATTCATTATTGTTATCAAATAAAAATGAGCCAGTTGGATGACGACGAGTGAATGAGAAATAGAATAAAACAAAAATACACAGATTTATTATCTATTGTTTCTTAGTGATCGATATATTGGATGCATGTTATAATTGTCCTAAAGAAACATAAGTGGGTCAAATCTAGGTCACAAGAAACATTAATTTAATCATTTCTTTCTTGTTTCACAATCGATTGTGTATTCGCAAAGATCGCTACTCATTTATATGAACCACTTCAATATTCCAACATACTTCATCACCATTTAAGACATAAAAACTAACCTTGTCAACACATTTATATGCGTATATGTTTATATAAGTGTTCATCGATCCACTATGTCGAAGAAAATATTTTGAACACGTTTTTATATTTATATGTATGTATGGGGTTCGTGTAGTAATACTAGTTGCTCGTCAATAACCATAATTGAATCAAACGAGTATGGATACATACATCGGAAACACTTAACAATAGCAAAAAAAAGCGATACAGAACTACATATTTTTCGTTTCCTTCCTTTATGCATTTATTTAATTAAACAACAGATATTTTTATATTCATATCGATTAATAGCAAGACTTTCTTATCAGCAGATACATTGTCAAACTATATAATGGAATAAAAAAGCAATGATCTCATTTATGTTAGATATTTATTTATTGTCTCAAGAGAATTTCTTTTTATTATTATTCTCTACTTGTAACAAAAGAGGAAAAAAAAGAATATTGTTGTGCTTTAGAACATTTTCGTTTTTTTTTCTTCTTCTTGTTCAGAGAGATTTTCATTGGTACACATATATATATATAAAACATCATCATTAGCAACAACAATATTTATATAAAATAACAAGACATATGTTTGATTATATTCGAAATATAATATTCATTCATTCTAGTATTTTGCGTGTTGATCCCAAAAAAAAATTTTCACTAGCTCAACAAAGAAATTATACGACAATAAGAGCAAAGTAGTTATACAAAAAGAAAAAAATCCAAATTTTTGTTACATATAGATAATTAGAAATGAAACACACTTGTAGTGGTTATCGTTCACATCACTGGGTGTAGTTATAAAAATTGTTTTGTTTTTATGATTCCATTTTAACATCACTGCGCATTGTTTGTTGAATACGTCGACGTAATTCGTTGACTTTTTCTTCTTGTGCGCGAATGTGTTCATCTGTAATTGTAACATGTTCAATTAATGGTTGATCACGTTGAACATAAATAGTCGGATTTTTTTGAAATTGTTTATTTTGACCAAATAATGCACGAGAATTACTATATAAATGAAGAGATGTTGCAAGACTAATGACAACCGTTTCAGGCGACATGTCAAGACCAACACCTAAAGATATTTAATTTGATATTAGACGAAAAACAATTTTTTTCTCTATTTATTCAATAAAAATTGTTTTCTTTCCTATGTTCTACTCCGGTAAATATCATTTGATTACATAACTATGTAAATCTTCCTCTCCTTTCTTTTTTTTTTGTAATGGAAAAGATCAAGTTCTTTTTTCTATAAATAGAAAAGTTCATTGAATATGATTAAGCTCAAAGAAATATAAAAGTACTCGTTAATAATGAAATATTTTAACAGAAAAGTGCAAAATATTCTAGGAAATAATTGATAAGACACTCTATTGAATTGAGAATAAAAGAAAGTTATGACACTACTACGTAAATATAAAAGTTAATGTATCGTAATAAATATGTAAAATTTAATGGATTTTGCTACAAAAGATATGTTATTTCCTATTTTTAGTAGTGTAGTAGATTTTCTTGTTGATCGTATCATCGACTAAATAATCGTTCTTTTATTCCTCCCGAAAGTATCATTCATATTTAATTAGATAGTCACTAGTTTTAGGTTATTTCTGCTCTACATATTTCATTCAGTTGCAATTCATTCATATTATTCGATTTGATATATACCTTTTATTTGTTCGGGTAATTTAAAATGTTCAAAAGGTTGTCCATCAATATCCATTGGTCGAAGATTTTGAAAACGTTTTTCCCAAAAAAGTTGTCTTGGTTTCGTTTTTTCACTTGGTTTTCCACCCGTCGTATTATTTGCTGTTGTTTGATTCGTTGAATTAGTTATTTGTGGTTTAACTTCATCACGTTGTGTTGGATAATACGTTACAGGTTGTTTAAATATTGGTAACGTTTGTCTTAATGGACATCGTAATGATGTATCATTTTTCGAACTGCGTACAGTTGAATTTCCTTCTTGAGACGATGTTGGTCGTACACCATTCATATGATTAACTTTTAATTTTTTTGCAAGATTTTGTTGTTGCGCTGGTCGACTTATTTTTGTTTGATGAATATTTAATAAACGATTTGGACTTGCTGACATGATTGATGATAAAGAATTTGTATGACGATCTGTTGAATCATGCATCTTTTTTTTTAAAATCTAAAATTTTTGGTTTTGTTCATTTCAAATAATAGACACGAAAAAAAACACGTTATTATTAGAAAATTGTTTTATTTAAGAAATTTGAAAGATATCGATGTCATCAGTCGAAGAAAGCACACATGAATACAAATAAATATACATATTCACATTTTTTAATTTATATAAAAATCTATAAAACGAAAAAACAAAACACAGCGAAGAAAAACTTTGTCCCTTTTTTTTGTTTTTGGTTTTCTTGATCTTGACTAGGAATTCGGCTTAATTTTATTTTATATCATCATATTAACGTGGACTAATAGTTGATTGTCCTGTTGAACCTCGTTTTTTTGATGGTGGACAATCATTTTCAGGTATTAATTCAACAATATCATCATCAGATGATAAAGATATTGTTCGACGTTTTTTACTTATGATTTCAGCTGGAGATTGTAATGGTAATATTAAAGTATCATTTTCTATTAAAGGTGAATTATTATTATTATGATGGTTAATATCAATTAAACTTGGAGGTATAAATGATTGTTGAAGAAATTGTTCAATTGAATAATTAATTTCATCCGGTACGGAATTTTGACCGTAATGACGACAATAAATTTTCTCAATAATACCATTTATACGTGTATGCCTTTCTTGAAGTTGTTTATGAGTTAATTTATTTGAATGATTTATTGCACGTCGACGATTATCATGATGATGATGATGATGATCTTGTTTTTGTTGTTGAAGTTCTTTTTGATAGGGCTAAAAAATGTATAAATTAAGATAGGAAAGAATTATCATACGTTCAAATCTATGTGCTAAACGATGTTCTATTGAATTCAATTTGAAGAGAAATATTAAGAATAGAATAGTTCCCGAAAGATTTATTTATTACTATTCAAAGTCGCATTACTTAGAATTATGAGACTAGCTAAGATTTTATCATTCGATCTCTTTCTATTAAGAAATATCTAATGATAAGATATATTTCAGTAAATAACATTCTCTACGATAATTCATATCTCAATAAAACGTCGGGCTATGTAATACAATAAAATGTATAACTCAAAGCTTATTCACAGTTTTTTTCCTATCAACTATATTGTATTATGTTATCAATAGAAAATGAACAAGTAACGCTCGTCTAAGGACTCGCTTAGCTCTTTCTCGTAGGAATGGTGTTCTACAATGTTACGGGACCTCTTCTTATATAACATGTAAACACTAACTTCATATTCGTGTTCCCCGACTTCAAAAATCGTTTCGCCAAATTTTATATCAAAAAAAACTTTTTCGTAAAAAAATGGTCCTTTGTGTAAAATAATTTTTTCTTAAAGAATTTTGAACAACTAACATCAGATTCGAAGTCCCTGCATCAAGAAACCTCTAAAAATCGATTTTCGATGTTTTTTTGATCCTGCGGACAGACAATCAAACAATTTATGATTACTGAACTCTCCTCTACGAGAAAGAGAATAACGATTAATGAAGAACAGATAAATTTGATATTATATAATCTCGGAATGAATATGATAGCATTTTTCTTCAGACATGTGTATGTTTAACATTTTCTTTCTGTTAATTGTAGAATAAGGTCAAGTATAAAAATTCATTTACTGTATGTGAAAAATTTTTAAATACAAACCTGATAATCTCTTTTAGGTGACAGTCTTTCCACATAAGTATCAAAACAATAGGGTTTTGTATTAGTTGGATATTGTTTTGTTTTTACCCAACGTGTAAATGTTCTTGCAGTTTTATCAACACGATAATCACAAATAAATAAATCACTTGATAATACTCGATTACTATTATCAGATATTGGTTTACCTTTACGATAAGTTCCAATATCAAATACAAAACATGGACGAACAATTAAACTAATTGGTAAAGGATCATTTGATGATGGAAAACGAAATACTTCATTAAGATAAAATTTGCGAGTAGGTTCATGAAATGTTTCATTTGGACGTATATAAAAAAAGCCAGACGCTTGTCCAACACCATAATCATCATACCAAAGTCGTTCAACAAATAAAATATCATATTCAGGGGATACTAATGATCGATCAATATTTTTCTCATCTTGTTTTACAACAAAATAACATTCATTTATACGAATAACAAATCCATCGGAACGTGTTAAAGTTGAATATGACTCATGATTATCATCATAAGTTTGTAGAGGTGATAAAGTAGCTGCTAGAAGTACATTTGTTTTTAAACATGCAGATGGATTTTGTTCACATGGTGCTACACATTCAAAACAATAATATGGCCGACTTGAATCATCTATTGAAACACATGTAACATGTTGCCATAACTAAAAAATACATAAAAGAATTTCAAATAAAATCTAGGAATTCTGTATAACATTAAACAAATTTTTTGTCTTAATCTTACTTGACAAGCATAACATTGAACAAGTGAAATTTCATCATAAACAGATCCACAACGACAATGAACAATACAATCTGATCCTGTCCTAGATCTTGATGCTCGATGTGAACTTGGTTTATTATCAAGCACGATTTTATAAACAATCGGTGAATTATCAATTGTCTCATCATCATCATCATCATCATCATCAATTATCTTATCACTTATATTATATATAATATCATAAAGAATTTGTCTTATTTGCCCATCAATAGTTTCTTTTTTATGTAAACGTTCTATAAAATTTTCAAGCGTATTTAAATCCGTCTGTTCTTCTTGCATATTTGTAAATAAATTTAACATAGTTTTATATTGAAGTTTGATTGTATTGAGAAAATAATTTTGTAATTCTAAAACAGCTTGACCTTCATGAGAATCTGCACCACAATATGTCTATAAAAGAAAAAATAAATTTATTTGAAAATATTTCAATAAAATTTCTATTTACAATAGCATTATTAAATAATAATAAAAGATCTAGTTCAAATAATTCAAATGATAAATATTCTCCATTATCTAATTTATTTCGTATTCGTTTTAAATCAATTGGTTTTGTTATTATCTGATAATATGCAGGATATAAACGTTTTGATGGACATTTTTTTAATGCATTAGCTGGAATGATATCTCGAGTTCGACCTCTATGATATAAAATTAAGTCAAATATTTCATTTAATATAAGATTCAATTGTGCTAATTGAGCATAATAACATGTATCATCAATAAGTTCAGAATTATGTCGACCAGTTTTTACAAAATGTGAACGACGAATATGATTATAAAATAGATAAAACATTTCCTTATGAATCATTGTTGGATTTTTTCTTAAATTAGGTAATATTGTTCTGTTATTTGATCCATTTGAATGATAATAATTTTGTGTAAAAAAAAGTGATGTTGCAGATTGGTTATCAGTTGTTTGTTGTTGTTGTTGTAATGTATTACTATTCTTATTTTTTAATTCTTGCTTAGTTTTTATTCTCTTTAGATTACGCAGTAGAAATATAGATGATTGTAAAACTCTTCGTTTTTCACGTTGAGTTAATCTTTGAATTGTTATGGATGAATTAGTATCATTATTCGTTATTATCGATGATGTTGTTGATTTTTGTTTTGTACCAATTTTTCCTCGACATTTTGGACTTTCACAATAACATGCTTGTTGTGTTTGTACATTAAAACATTGAAAATTATAATCATATGTTAATTCTTCACCTGCTTTTATTGTACGTAATGGAAACATACACATACGTTGTAAACCATCAACACTCCATTTTTCAAAACCACAATTTGGTGAACATGAATGATTAGCAAAACGTGCTATACTACCCATACGATAAGCATCAATAACTAAATTTTGTGTTAATTTCATTGTATAATGATGTTCATCTTTCGAATACAAATTTATCATACGATCATAAAATTGTTCTTCAGTTATTACTTCACCAACATATTCACATAGAAAGGTACCTTTTGATATTGAATTTGTTGTACGCAAACCTTGACCATATTTACCAGTATCGAAAACTTCAAGATGTTTGTACCATAGATTTTTACGAACTCTTTGATTAGTACATTTGACACCTAAGAAAAATCTCAATTATAGAATCAAGTATAAATAATAATGTCAACTTAAGTGTGCCCCAGATTTGGAGTTTACGCATATCTGAGTTTTCGCGAAAAACTCTACCTGAAACTGTAATCATCTGTTTTTGATTGCTCTAATAGATACTCTAGACTGTGCTGAGTCGACTGGTGATGCTCAAGAAAAAAAAGCACACAGTTACAAGCTGCAAGTTCTCGAAAACTTCGAATTTGGAGCTCACTTAACTCAACCAAATAATAAGTATTTAAATTTTATAGATTTGAGAATTGACAGAATAGGGCAACGCTAGATATAGAATTTGTGTTTTTTAAATGTTTAGCGGATCGAAAATAAAGATAAATCATACATACCACAAGCACAATGTATAGTACATTCAGTAAACATGACTCTGTTAAGACATACACCATCTTCACATGTTTGAGGTGGTTTACATTCACAAGTAGGTGTGTGTTCTGTAGTATTTAATGATAAAGCATGTTGTCGTAATTGATCGGAATAAACATTACGAAAGATTTTTTTATAAGGTGATAATTGTTTTTGTTTTGGTTTACTTGATTTTTTCTTATTATGACGTAAGATTGAAATTGTTGATGTTATCATATGAGGAAAATGATTATTCATTGTTGGTTGTTTAGTTTTTTGTTGTTCTTGCCAATAGATATCATATGGAAGTCGATAATCAATATATGAAGATTTCGCATCATCAGATTCAAATATTCCAGTGTAAAATGATGGTAATGAACCTGATGATTGTCGTCGTAGTCTTCGTCGTTCAGGAAAAGATTTATTACTAAAAAATAGAGAGATATATTTTTTATTTATTTTCATAATAAAAAAAAGAAAATCAAATATAGACCTAATTGGTTTCGATTTATCGTTAGCTCTTGTTTTATAATAATTCGAACGAAGTCCATTTTTAATAAGACATTGTTTTGGTAATTCAGACGGTAATACATTATAATCTTCATCACCATCATCGTCATCATCATCACTAAAATATATGATCTATGTTTATTTCATTTATAAATCTACATAAACACTCATATTTTAACATCTTCATCTTCTATTGATGGGTTACACTTTACTAATGTAAGATATAGCATTATTTGTTTTACAAATTGTATGATAAATACAGTCACAGATATATAGAGGCAGCTGTCAACCTTGATTACTAATCTTTCATTTGATTTTTTGATTCATGTCAGTAATAGCAAGCTAACTGATGGGCCTCTTCAATGAATATTAAGAACAGATTCAATGGCGATATAATAATAATTTTCATGCATATTTACGTAAATAAAAATATGATTAGTCTGATTCTATGATAACGAATAAGCACAGGTAGCCTTTCGAATGTACCGATTCAAACGTTTTTATCATGTTCTTATTCTGAGTCTTCATAATGTATCAGAAATTATGTACTGCATATAAAACATTGATGAAAAATAAACTTTCGTGTCAAATAAGCTAAAATCTCAGTAAAATATAATATGAATTTGTCAATCCGGAATTGATGCTTATATTCATACTGTCAATATAATTACTTGCTACTTTCAGTATAGTTTACTGAGTGTTTCAAGAATATAATTGGAAGTATACGAGCCTTACTAAGATGTTATTGAACATTATCTAAAGAAGAAGCATTTAGATATATATTTCAAGATAGCTAATCATATAAATATCTAACTTAAGTAATGTATAGCATTACTCTCCATTAGATTATCTTTAGAAATATACGATTTGATCTCATATTATATATATATATAACATTTAAACAAAATCAACTTGGGAGTCAATTAGATCGAACATAGACATCTCAAGGTTAGATTGAAACAATAGATTGATAAGGAAATTTAACTTTCACTTTATCTCTCACTTCACTATTCTCAATATTAAAAAAAAAAGGTTCAGATTCTTGTCACTGTCAAAAATGACAAATTCTCCGAACATATGGTTACCAGTTAAATATTTTTCCATATGGCACATTGTAAATTATTATGTTATAATCAGGGAAAATATTTATTGTAAATAAGACTATTTTTATTATTTATATTGAAAAAAAGAAATGAAATAATATACCTTTCTGGTTCAGTAATATCTTCAATATGATTAATTGTTTCTAATGATGATGTTGATTCAATTCGATTTTTTTTATTTTCTTTAATATTTGTATTTGAGAATTTTCGTTTACGATTATTATTTGTCAATGGTTTATCTTTTTCATTTATTATTCTTGATGGTAATGGAATTTTCGTTGGCGTCAAAATAACAACAGATTTTTTAATTGCCCATGGTGATAATTCATCAATTTCATTATCCATACATGGTTCAACATGTATCGATGACAAAGATCTTGAATCATCATTTTTCGAATTATTCGATTGTCGATTACGATTCTTCATAATTATGGGTGATGGTTGACTAATTATTGAATCACGTCTTGTTGTTGGTGGAGGTGTTTTAAGTGTAATTGCTATTGGATCATTGAAAACATCTGGTGGTGGTGGTGATTGAGGCATTTCTTTAATAAATGTTATATCACCATGTGTTGTTATTAATTGTTGTGTATTTGGAAATTTTGATTTTTCACCAAAATGATAACCACATTCAATTGCTGTATATAAATGTGGATAATACGTCCGTGCAAGAATATCTTTAACTGTTTCAAATTTTTCAATGGGTGATTTTGAAATAATATTTGATGATGATGAATTATCTGTTGTTAAAAATTGTTTTGCAGGTTCTAATTGTAGAATATGAAAAGGATTCTTTGGTATTTGTCGTTGTGTTGATGATGGATTTCTTCGATTAACAGTCCAATCCGTTGTAAATGAGGTTGATGTCGGTGAACTTATCATAGATAATGGTTGTTGTTTATGTTTATCATTTTTAATAAATGAAATCTTTTTTTCCAAATATAAATGTTTACGAAATGTTTTTATATAATAAATTTTAAAGATTTTCTTTAAAACATTACAAGTTTTTAGATTATTTGGTGTTATGGGAGAGGAAGAAGATTGTTTATCAAGATATAAACAGGTATGTAAATGCATAGATAATGTATCAATATCACTATAAATAAGAAAACGTATATCACGTATATCATTTTGTATATGACCGGGTAATGATTGAAGATCAGTTGCTAATGGAATAATTGAATCATTGGCTGATGGAATTGATAATGTATCAATTGAGATGATTTTTTGTTTACGTATATCAACAAGTGGTACATCATCATCATCTGATATATCTTCTGTAATTGGCGTCGAAATATGATTAGATTTCATTGTTGATATTGGTTCTCGAAATGTATTTGATATTTGCATAGAATTTCTTTTTGAATGTACTGGAGATTGTTTAGAATCTAAATAAAAATAATTTTATTGTTTTGAATTAAATTAAACTAAAAAAACTGTGTTCTTTAAACCTGTAGATGATATTATTGATGATGCGGTTGTTGTTGGTGATTCAATTTCTAATGAAATTATACTTTCTCGTCTTAATCTTGATCGTGATATTAACTCATTTTCTACAGATAATATATCATCAATAATTTGTCTTGGTGTTGTGTCTAAACTAATAATAGATGATGAATCAAATATATTTGGTGGTGAATCTAATGTTATAATTGTATTTATTCTTTCAGATGATTTTAATAAATAATCATTTGTATTGGTCGTTAATGGTAATGATTGATTAAATAAATTTTGATGTTGCATACTATTTCTATAATTATGAAAATTACTGTTCGGTAAGAATGTAGCTGATTCATTTGATGGTGGATCGGAATTACGAATTGTTTCCATTAATTTAATCCATCCCTGCATTGTTTGAGATGAATTAAAATCGATTGACGATGATGATGAGTTAGACTTATTCTATATAGATTAAATAAAAAAAGTAAATATATCATGAAAATTAAAAGTCAGATTTTTTTAATTACTATCTGTTCATTTTCTGTGCTCATTATAGTAACAATTCATCTAGAAATATTCGTTTAAATACAACAAAATAGTTTCATAAATTATATGTATACGTTGACAAGGGTGGTAGACACGAGTAGTGAACTAAAATCTCCAATATTTCTTTTTTTCTTTCTTCCTTTCTTCTTGTTTACTCAACTCAATCCAGTTTGTCCTTTGCGTGTTCGTGTTATTTTATTCGATTGGCAAGATGACTCACTGTTACGCTAGACTGTGTTCGTTTGTCTCTTCTTCGCTTCATTTAGCCTTTCATTCTTGTTACCAACAATTTTTACTACACGAAGATATGTGAGTGAAGGGAAAGCCAATCAATCATCCGTGACCATAGCCATAAGAATTTTTTCATTTTTTCTATTAACTAATATTTTTAGAATTATTTTTATAGAAAAATTTATCAATAATAAAACTTTTCAATACAATCTTTTACTTTACGGATAGATGTCCCTAGTTAACATTTTTGTAATTTATATATATATTATATTTTATGAGCTTCAAAAATATGGTGTATCTGTTAATAGTGGAGAATGGATTAGATTACCATGTATGATTTTATAGAATGTTGAAAGAAAATATTGTTAAAATACAAAGTTATGTAATAAGTTTTCTCTTATTGATAAAAAGCATATAATTATTAATGAAAAAAGAGTTCATACGACTTCTCTTCTCTTATGATTTAAGAAGTCAACAATTTCGTAAGAGTTTTATCATTATTCACACAAGCACTTTTTAATTTAGTTCTTGAATGCAGATCAGTTTTAAGGTTTGTGTCATACTATGAAATTGTAAATCATGAAAATTTTCTCAGAAAAAATTTATTATTCAAAACAATAGTAAAAATTGAATTTATTATACATAGAAATGTTTGTACATGCAAATAAGACTATATTGGTTGTGCTATACGTATAGAAAATAAACTTATTCAGTATATGAATACATTACATATACAACAATTATCCAAGATATCATCACCATTACAAAATCATCAGTGATAAAAGATCAATGTCATGTGTCTCCTCTTCAGCTTTTGATGATAATACGTCCTGTTGTTTGTTGTTATCCTTGAATTGTCATGTTTTAACATCAATAAAAGCTTTACCTCCAAAAAAATAGTATATGAAGAATTAGATAGAACTAAATTAATTTCTTGTAGTACGATTATTTTTGAAGATTTTGATACTAATTTATATATGAATGAACTATAGACCTTTTTACTCTTTAGCATTATTTGTTCATGATCGGGGGCGTAGCCAGAGGGTGTGCACACTCTTTGGAAAAATTGTACCTTTAGGGGAGTACGGAAATTTTTTTCTACCTGAAACAAAAATTTATTTTTCTGTAGCTGTGCACACCACTAAGTAAGTCGGGCATACTTCTTAGCAAATTCCTGGCTATGTTCCTGCTCATGATTTCAATTCTTGTATTATAATTGATATATATCTAAATACATTGTAGTTAAGTTTAGAATATTATTTTATTGAGTTGCTAAGCTACAAAGAGAAATATATAAACGAGATTAAAAATGGAGAAGTAAGTTTTTCATACTTGGATTTTCTAAGTCTGATTACCATTACTATTAAAATCAATTTCGATCATATCATATGACATTTGAAACGTATTTTTACGTTCATTAAAAGACTATTTTTGTGGATTGAATTCCACAATATTTTATCTTGTATGTTTATGACATGTAGAGAATTCATCTAATAAATGACGTTTTTTAATTAAATGATTATTTTTTTTTCTTCAGTCTTTCAAGATCTGACAGTTGAATTCAATAAAATGTCATAATAATTTTTAGAAACATGTATTTATAATTTATCAAAAGTTACATATAACAAATAGGTTTTATTTATAAGCTATTAATAGCAAAAAATATTCCAAGACACATGACTCAAAATGGTTGCCGAATGTGATAGTTTTTAAAACAATCTACAAGACGCAATTCTGTACCACATTCAATACATTCACATGAAATATCTTTCCTTTTTTTAAGTCTCCTCACTATATTAACGAAATTGTAATATTTTCTTCTTGAACTTTTTTGACTTCCTGTTGATGCAATGCGCGAAATAAAGGACCATGCTGTAAGTCAGAACAGGGAGTGGGTGTGAGTGTTGTCATCATCTCACGCATATGCACTCTATTGAGAAACAACTAAGAATCTTTACTAAATATAGAAAGGTTTATGTACAAAAATAACATAAACGCAAATATTTACACAAGTCATATTATTATATGATCAATAGAACGTGTTTTTTTAAAGTTATTCAAGTCTCAAAATATCAGAACTCGGTGACCCGGATACATCGGGTTCATTTATATTGTCATCGATTCTACGTAAAACTATATGATTAAAAATATAGCAAACTTATAATCATTTGTATTTTATAATTTACTCGACAAAACTATTATTTCTCTCATTCATAAAATAAACTATTTACAAAATACATTTATCAAGTTCGTATTGTATTTCTTAGAGAAAAATTTGTCAGAATATTAACTATTCTACTAGATTGACTAATTGTTGATATTATGAAAAATCTCTTATTTTCTATTCGATGTTCATTTTATTAGAAACTATATACAACATATGTATTGAATATTCTTTTCATTGATTTAGTTAATAGTTTTGACATAGATCTTAGTCAACTTGCATTTTTTCATAATACTAAATAACAGTTGTTAACAGTAAGATAATATTTCTTTGATAGAGTATACCGGTTATATTACAATACATACATTAATTACCAATGTTGAATATTCTTTCATTAAAATTTCTGTATTTATTATGGAAAATCAAGAGTTATCATCACATGAATAAAGTTGATACCATATTCTATTCCAAAAATGTGAAAGAAACAATAATTACAAGAAAACATTGTCATAATGACATTATTGAAAATAATTGAAACAACTACGAACAAAAAAGAAACAGAAAAAGTACATTTCCTATATTTTCAATCCTGTTTTTTATTGTTTACTAGAAATAATAATCGTATAATTAATAATATGTTTGATATTAACAATTCTCTTGTTATCATGCAGATAAAAATGAATTAAATAAGATTATTAATTATACATGTGTACGTGTTCACAATTCGTTTTATTTTTGAGCAAGAACATTAACAATAACGACAACCTTAAATGGTTGAAGTACGATACATGTGTGCTCGTACAACATATAACAAAAGGTTGATGATCATGAAGAAGAAATTAATACCATCACATAACGAATGTTTAGTAAGGAAAACAAAAGAAAGAAGAGAAAAGCACACATATATATATTTATAAAGAGAAACAGAACAAATAAACAGATATTGTATTATTATTAATTTAAAAAATAAATCAATATTTTATTCTCTTGTCTTTCTTTTTAAATGTTTTTGATTTGATTCACTATTTTTTGATCTTGAAAAAAATAAATACATGTTAGATGTTTTTTCTTTTTGCAAGATGATTTATTTTACCTTTTAGAATTTGATTGTTTAATTTCATTATTTTCATCATCTGAAGAAGAAGTTGAAGATGTTTTTTGTTCGGATGTTGAAGCAACTGTATCTGAACCAGACCGAGATCTTGACATAAAAATGAAAAATAATTTGATTATATATAAAAACAAAAATGAAATCTACCGTTTTCGAGATCGATGTGATGATGTAGGTGGTGTTTGTGGACCACGATCACGTTGATTTTTAGGTGAAGATGATGTTGAAATGCGTCGTTTTCGTTTGCTTTCACGACTAGATCGAGTTTTTCGTGACGGTGAAGTTCTAAAACAAATAAAAATCTCATTATTTTCTACTAAAATTTATTTATATTCTAAAAAAAAGAAAAGTTTAATTGGAAAAAACCAACCTTTCTATATAATTATCCATTAGTTATCGAAGAACTGTCTGTTTGGAAAGAAAGAGAGAAATTTAGTCGAATAGTCGAAATTCGTTTTTTTTGTTCAACGAAACGGATGATAAAGAAGAAATAGTATGGGATGAATAATATGATGTATAAATTTCGTTTTTTGTTTGACAAAAAAGAAAGATAGTCGAATTTCGTACCTGCGTCGACTACGACTTCGACTTCGTTGTGATCGTCTATGAGACATGACTGGAGGATAACGATCAAGACCGGATGATGAATACATATTTCGATGAGAACGAGATGATGATGATGATGGTGGTGGTGATGTTGGAGGAAAGAAAGCTGTTGGTGGTGGTGGTGGTAATCGCTGCATTAAATATGGATCTCCGTAGGCTGCTCGATAATAAGCTGGATCACTATAAACAGCTGGATGATGTGGATAATATGGTGGATAGAATTCTTGTGATCGTAGATGATTCATTGATGATATACGAGCATTTTGTTTAAATGAAGGTGGTGTTAAAGATCGACCACGAGACATAGTTGAACTCGACATCATTGTTGATGGATGATGTTGATAATAATTTTGACGCATTGATTGCATTGTTGGTAAACGATTTGCAGTTACCTTTTTAAAAATAAAAATAAATTTTCTTTCATATTTATTTTCTCAAACCTGTAAATGATCATAAAAAGTTGATGGTGGTGAATGTACTCGAGTTAATGGACGTCGACTATCTCGAGATGTTTTATCTGGTTTAGCATATTCCACACGAAGTTTTGAACCATTCACTGTTTTATTATTTGTACGTTGTAAAGCACGTTGGGCATCAGTTGATGATGTAAATTCAATAAAAGCAAAATGTTTATGTTCATCAACATAAATTGTTGAAATTTCACCATATTTACTAAATACACGACTTAAATCTGATTTACGATTATCACCAATATCACCAACAAATAATTTTAATAGGCCATTTGATGAACACATTTAAGAATTTGATTTCAAAACTAATATTAAACAAAAGAAAACATATACACATACATCATGTTATTGATTCTAGTTGAGAAAAAAAGAAAAGAAGTCTCATCAGCGATAGTAGCGCTTACTAGAAAAATATTTAAATGGAGGCCGAAACCATTTCAAAATATGAATCGAATCATAATGGCGACATAAAAATACCATTTCCAATGGATTTTTGTTTATTATACACACATTCATTTTTTTTCCGTAATTGTTTGATATAAATCAAAATTCAAAATTTTTCTTATTTTTAGATTATGGCACCACCAAAAAAAGTTGCAGGAGTATGTTTAAACAAGAAAAAAGCATAATTAAATTTAATAATTTTATTTTTTCTATTAGAAAAAACAAGCTGAGACAATTAACCAACGTCTCCAACTTGTTATGAAATCTGGTAAATATGTACTTGGTTATCGACAAACATTAAAAGCATTACGAAATGGACAAGCTAAATTGATTCTTGTTTCTGGAAATACACCACAAATTAGGTTTGATAATTTAACTTAGTCATAAGAAAAAATAATTTGTTTGTTTGTTTTTTGTATTAAAATAGAAAAAGTGAAATTGAATATTATGCTATGTTAGCTAAAACTGGTGTACATCATTATGGTGGAAATAATATTGAATTAGGTACAGCTTGTGGCAAATATTTTCGTGTTGGTATTCTTGCTATAACTGATCCAGGAGATTCAGATATTATTAGAACTGTACCAGGCGAACAATCAACGGCTATTGCAACATCATAAGAATTAAAAAATTTGTTTTTTTAAAACTTTTGTTTCGCTTGTTTTTGTTAACAAGAAAAAAAAACGATAATTACAAGAAAAAGATCATTAATAAACAAAAAACGACAAAAAAAAATTTCTCATTGTCTATTATTTATTTTAATTAATTTCGTTGAATTTGTTCTAGGATAGAAAAATGAAAGATTTGGAAGAGAATAAAATGAAATCATATACCTTGTTCAAGTTCAAATAAACATAATTTTACTTAAAAAAGATATTCGTAAAATTATGAAAATATTTAGAAGTGTTGACTTACACTCTGCTGCTCGTAAAAGATCATCATCGGTTGGTTGAAGAATATTTTCACTTTGTTCTAAGGCTAAATACATAGATTTGTAGTTGATGTTAAGTTTTATTCATATTGAATACCGACCTTTCGATTTCGACTGGATTTCTATGGATGAATTAAACAAAATACATCGAAAGTGAATGTAAAAAATAGAGATCTATAATCTTACGTGCGTTTAATTGGGTTTTATTAAATTCTTTAGTTTTTTTACATATATGCTCATATCGTCGAGCCACTATTTATATTATTAATTAAATAATATTGATTTCATGATACTTACATTGTTTATGTATTTGAACTTTGCGCCTTGATGTTAAATGTTCGAACACTATGAATAAAGAGATAAAAATAAGAAGAGTAAAAACTACTAACTATTCATCAAAGTTGGTAAAAGTGGGTGATTCCATGAAGTAGACTTTTCTAATAAATATCAAGAGATATATATCTTTGGAAAAAGAAATATTGAACAGGACTTACCTATTTGTTCGCTAAACTGAGTTGATGTTGAGAGAAGTGCAGCTGATTGACTAATGACTGGTGGATGAACTTCGAAAGTTTACTTTTCTTTACAAACAATTATTGTATTATTTATTTACCTGTGTTAAATGTTGATGCAGATCTTTCGAATGTAATAACACTTTTTCCTACAGGTAAAACTGGATCTACTGCTAGTTGTTCAATCTCATATTCATTAATACTATTCGAATGAAAACATTTTAATGATGGTTCATCGAGAACTTTCATAATTCATAATAAAAATCATATATATATAGATTTATAAACAATAAAAATTCGTTTTTACTTTTAACATATTCATAAACATTTAACTCCACTAAAATTAATGAAAAGACTATTGTTAAAATAATAAATACAATATTTACGTTCAGCCATTGCTATTCGTTCATCTTTTGTTAATGATTGAACCGGTGTTTGACGTTTTTTAACTAATGCTACAAAATTCAAGTTAATAATTATCTATGATTTATGAATATTTTACCATCACGTTTATATTTTAGTTTTATTTCAATATCGTTTGAAGACATTTTTTCTAATGTTTGACGTATATGTATTAATCGACGATCTAATCGTTTCAAAAGTTCAACACGAGAAATATCATGAAGATTATAATCTAAAAAAATAACAGAGTTTTTTATGTTTTTAATTATAAGCGAAATTGATTTTTTTAGGATTTACATTTAACTAATTGATTAAATAATGGATGTTCGGATACAGTTGATGAAACAGTAGAAGATTTATCATTTGGTATATCATTAACCGATTGTTTTGGTTGGAGAGATGTTACTAAATAGTATTTGATATTTAAGTTTAGAAAAAAGAATAAGAATTTTACTGGTAATTTCTTGAAACTTTGACTGGTTATTCAGAAGGATTGAAGCAGATGGAATTCCTGTTAACAAATATCTGACTTTCTTGTCTCTAGAATGATATAAAATGTATATTTACGTTCGAATGTAGCATCTGCTGATACACCACGAAGAATTTCTATATCATCGAAAATAACAAAGAAGATAATTCATGATTTATAAGAATCATACTTGAACGATTGTTAAGTTCTGCATGAGCAGATTGAGTTAATAAATTTGTTTCATCTATAGATTTTAGATAATAACAAAAATAGTACATGAAAATAAAGTATTTCTTAATACGATTATTTTTAGATTCAATTTTTGAATCTATAGCATCTATAACATAAAGAAAAAATGTTTAGTTTTAATAAGAAAGGTTTCTCTACCTAATTGATTATTTTTGTACTCAACATCTAATGGTAGAGTTTCAGAAATATATTCAATATTATTAACTAAATATTAATCAAAATTACAAAAAGAAAACGATTTATTTCTCTCATACCACCAAGTTTGATAATTTTAGTTGGTATTAAGGAAGATGTTGCATTCATAGTTTGTTGTTGATATGAATTATTTGTATTAGATTTATTTTCTTAATTTATATACAATGTAAATTCTTGTCTTCAAATTAAAATAAAGATGATTTAATCTTCTATCAAATTACCTTCTTTATGCTTTCGTTTTGATGATGAATGTAAATGAGTGACTAGAATTGAAATATTATAATAAATTAAGATGTTATCATTGAACAAAACCTGATCGATTTTTAGAAATAATTGATTGTTCATTTCCTTAAATTATCATTTGAATGTTTTCTTGTTCGATAATTTTCAATTACCTAATTGTTGTTCAATTATTTGAGAATAAATAATACGATACCAAAGATCTCGAGGCATAGGTAGTTTATTTTTTGGACAATTTATTGGACCACATGATCGAAAGCACGGAAATGTTCTATGACATGGTTATTTTTAAAAGATAAAATAATTGTAATATAAAAACTTACGATGGATAACAAGGATAACCATTGTTTGATATCATATTAGTAGAATTCAATGATTGAATCTTTGTCTTTGATATGTTACGTTTTGCTTTGATCTTTCGAGGAGTTTTCTTGGGTTTTGATGATTTATTTTCTATTCAATTATTAAAGATCATCTTCTTTCTGTTAGAGAAACTTATGAAAACTGACTTGTAACTTTATTTTTTGATTTTTTAATTTTCGATACTAAAAATAGATGATCGATATGTACATATAGATAGATAGATTTATTACCTTGACGTTTTTGCGGTTTAGATTTTGATTTAATTGTTTTTGTTGGGAAGGATTTATCATTGTCAACTAATACAAATTTTCACAGATGAGAATAACAAATAAAATTAAATTATGTTTTACTAAATTCTTGAATTATGTCAGAGCATTGATCTAGTAATTCTATATTCAAAAAATAAAACGAATATTATTTAAATAATTGATATTCTCTCTTATCCTAACTTCTATTCACATCGACTGGTAATTTATCGATACCATCAAACCCATTTATTTGACGTAGTGTTTTTAATGATGTTTTGAGATCTATAAAACCATAATAGAATTAAATCAGTTAGTAATTTAAAAATTACTATTTGTTCGTTTTTTATTTGCCATATAATATATGGTATCCTCGTTTCATAGAAATAGAATTATAATTCGCGTAATTAAATTTTAAAAAAACTTATATTAATATAAGAATGATTATTTTTAATAGTATTGGCGCGTTAAAATAAACGTATTTCATACTTTAAAGAATTTATATATTCACCCATAATTTATTATGCATTCTCCAAGGATCTATGCATATACTTAAAAACTAGAAGTAAATTTGAGTCCTCAATTATTATTTGAATTCATTTTATGATAATCCATTTCATCAGATAATCATATGTATATTATTTAAATCTTCCATTGAAGACTAGATGGACAATCAATAAATAATACAGTCAATACTATTCATGAATAAGTCTAATAAGAATGTCAGTACTACTCTCATACTTTCCAACATTAAAAGTATTGCATTGCACCTTATGTCACATATATGTTCTGATCAAAAATAAGCATTAAAATTTACGAAAACAGGCTAAGTTAATCAGTTAGTCTAATTGTCGAAAGTCATTACTTGATTTAAGGTAGATAAAAATTTTTCGACAATTATTATTACGGAAGCATTCACAATGCAAAATGAAGGATTATAATTTATTTAATGACACATTTTGAATTTTGTCGATTTCTACAAATATATGTAAATACAAAAGATTTTATCTCACACATGTTTACCATGTATATGTTTGATCATATTCAAGATAACGACATCAAAACTAATTGATAAAACACTGTTATTATAATCTAGTCGGAATAAAGCTAATCATCATAAGTATACTCTATCATGACTGAAAATGTAATAGTATTTATTTTACTGTACATTATTCTTTATAGTAATCGATAGGAAACACTGTAAATCACATTCCAGTTGAAAAGTTTGTGAATAGCAAGAAATCATAAATACTAAAATAGAAATTTAATGATATTATCGAATTCAGTTATATGATTTTCTCACAATCAAGAGATTTTACTAGATATAATTATATGGTGTTTATACGCAAATACTCGATGTCATGATTAAAATTACTTTATTCATATAATTTGATGGTATGATAATGTACATTGTGAATATACTAATTAGGTCAAAAAAAAACGGAATATTAGTTATAGTTTATTTATTTTGAATTACTGTTCTTAAGAGTAACGAAAATTTGATAGTTTGAGTGTTTTATTTCATTCTTCACAAAAGATACAAAATAAAAAAAAATATTTCTATCATTATTGATGTTGTTTTACTTTTGGATATTAGAAAACAATGTAAACAAAAATTTGTTTATGACTACGCTACTGTTTTATATATAGGTTATTCGAACGTTGTTTATCGAATATTTTTGTTACGCTTGGTTAAATACAGCGGAATGAAGGACTGTGTATAGTGTGGACTATAATCAACAATAACTATATGTATATGCAGAGCGTATCTATTTTCTAAATATTATTATGCGATCATACTCATAACCTAGTTTACTCTGATCGATTTATTGTCCACGAATAATGACGGATAATCTAACAGTGTATGACGATATTGATCAAAAGGTGCGACCAAGAAGTGATTCTATATATTCCAATCCAGGTTTTCTCAATGAGGAGAGAGTAAATTCATTTTTATTAATTTATATTGTTTATAATGTTTTTTTGAACTCTCTAGAATAATCCAGAATTAACATTACTAAATGATACATCATCATCATCAGCTACTATTGAGGAGTCACCTTTTGTAGAAGTAGCTATAAATGTATCCAATGCAGATGATCCAACGATGCCATGTGTAACAGTTCGATCAGTATTTCTTGGAATTTTATTAACATGTCTTATGTCATTTACTATTCAATTTTTTGCTTATCGTACATCACCAATAGATGTCAATATTGGTATTGTTATATTAGTTTCATATTTAATTGGTGAATTACTGACAAGGATATTACCTAAAAGTATATTTAATATAACAATAAATCCAGGACCATTTACTGTTAAAGAACATGCTTTGATTACAATAATGGCTACATCAAGTGTACGAACATATGAAGCTATGGAAGCATTAACTGTTCAACGTATTTATTATAATTATTATCTTAGTCATTTTAATTCAATATTATTTTTATTAATAATGCAATTTCTATCTATTTCTATATCAGGTATTCTAAATAGATACCTTATATGGCCAGCATATATGATATGGCCAAAAACTTTAATGACTTGTTCATTAATTCGTGCATTAACTCATACAGATGAATCTAATATTGGAAAATCTCGATGGACATCAATGTCACGTGCAACATTTTTTTGGTTAATTTTTCTATTTTCATTTATTTATTATTGGTTACCCGGATATATATTTCCGATTTTATCATTTTTCTCATTGATTTGTATGATTGGACCCAAAAATCTTATTTTTTCACAAATAACTGGTGCAAATGGACTTGCTTTAGGTGCATTCGAACTCGATTGGAATGCTTGGGTAGCTTATTTAGATTCACCTATTCTTACACCATTTTGGTAAATATCTATTTAGATGAAATATTTCGATGGAATTTTAACTATTGTTATTTAGGGCACAAATGCATATTCTTATTGGATTTATACTTGTTATTTGGATTGGAACACCTTTGGTTTATTATTTAAATATTTGGGACACAGAAGTAGCACCTATTATTTCTAATCGAGCGTTCGATAGAGATGGTTATTTTTTTAATGCGACTCAAATATTAGACGATCGTTTACAATTAAATAAAACTGCTCATCACATATATGGTAATTCATTATTTTATTTTTCGAAATCATAATGAATTGAAATGCTTTAGGTGATGCATATTTGACTGCTGGGAATATTGTTGCAATTTGTTTTACGTTTGCAGGCATAGCAGCTTTGATTGTACACACAGTACTTTATTATGGTAGGTCAAATTGTATGAAGAAGCCTTTTCTTATAAGATTTGATATAATTATGTCAATATTTACATATCTGTAACAAACTATAGAGGAATCATTAGAAATAAAGCTAGATAATTATGAATCCCTTCTAGGTGATATTGAACTTTATGATTAATATCAACACATAATAATCTTACATAGAAAACTACTATTTTTTCGGGTTCAAATATCAAGAGATTTAAAAACTAAAAAATATTTCATCTTCAAATAATTCTAGTATTTAAAATATCGTCTGGAAGAAATATTAAATCTTACTTGTCTATTATATTCGAATATTTATCAGTCTAAGAATGTCTGAAATATTACGAGATTAAGTATTTGATGGTTTTCAGCCATGCAGCAGACTGTCACAAAACGAAAGATTAAAAGACGATGCTATTGTCTGTCTACAAATGATCGAAAATGTTCACCTATAGTATAGGCATATTTCTATAGTTAATTCTCTTGTTATGCTAAAAAGAACATATTTAAATGTACAATCAAATAATTCCATTTCTTAAACTATCATTAATAATAACTTTTATTATTTTACTATCTGAGAGCTTATGTTTTAGATTTGCATAAGACAGATTTTTCTGTTAAGTGGAATTGAATGTAGAAATACTGAATTTAATAGGGTTTAATGAATATTGTCAAAATACTTTTATGTAATCATACAGGTAAAACAATAAAGGAACAATTTCGTTCAACTGTATCTGACAAGCCAAATGATATTCACGCCAAACTAATGTTACAATATCCAACAGTTCCCGACTGGTGGTAAGTATTTAATTGTATTATATCGTATTATCTTTTATGATTATTAACAGGTATTATATCATATTTTTACTGACACTTTTAGTTGCAGCAATTTTTTGCTCTTATAATGAATTAATGCCAATACCCGTGATGATTTGTATATTTTCACACCTTTTTTTAAATTTAAACAATAAATTTTGTAATTTAATTTTGTCCTTTAGTAACGATTGTTTTTCTCATTGTTCTTGTTCTACCAAATGGTATCATAACAGCAACAACAAATATGATGCTAAGTTCGTTTAAAAAACGAAATTTTTTTTTGTTCTTTTATTAGATTATATTATATTTAAGCTGGATGTGCTCTGAATGATTTTATCACTGGTATAATTCTACCTGGTCATCCACTTGGTTTTTTAACATTTCGTGTATTTTCATGTGCATGTCAAAATCAAATTATTGTACATTTAACAAGCTTTAAAATCGGTCATTATATGAAAGTAAATTTAATTATAATTTCTTTTGTTTTAATTTCTTTTTGTTCTGAAATTTATTAGATCTCTCCTCGTGTTGTATTTTGTTCATTAATTTTATCTTCAGTTATATCTTGTATAATTCATTATATAACTGCAATATACCTTCTTAATCATGTTCCAAAAATATGTTCAAAAAGCAATCTTGCATGGAAATGTCTCAATGTAGAAAATACGCATACAGCATCAGTAGTATTTGGTGTAGTTGGTATATAAGAAAATCTTTTTTTTTTGATCAAACTTTGACTATAAGGTTTTTATATTAATTAGGAGCGTTTAGGCCAGGTTCAAAATATTTTCCGATATTGTGGGCCATTCCAGTTGGTTTCGTATTACCTATAATAACTTGGTGTTTATGGAAAAAATATCCTGAGATTAAATGGATATCATATGTTAATTTTCCAATTCTTCTTTTGGCAACAGCTAATCTTCCACCAGCTCCAACTGTTACATTTCCATCGTGGGTTATAGTTGGATTTATTTTTAATTATATTATATATCGTCATGCAAATGATTGGTGGGAAAAATATGCATATATATTTTCAGCTGCAATGAGTTGCGGTGTAGCTGTATGTGGTTTTGTAATATTTTTTGTGCTTAATTCGCCTCATACTAATACTCCTTCTTCATTATGGAGATCAGGAGGATCAACTGGAGATGGATGTCCATTAGCTAGTGCAAATTATTCAGGTATTCTTCCAACTTGGAGACAGTATTTATAAAATGTTCATTTTGGTTTCAAATCAAACTCGACAACAACGAAGGAGATTTAGTTTCCAAGAAAAAAAAATGTTTAGTTTTTCAACAAAATACAACAGTCTATTCTAACTTATATTTGTGAGGAGACATGTATTTAAAAAGTCTATTTAAACGATAAGAATGTTTGAAATAAATGGAATTGTAACAATTGATATGTACTTGATTTATTTTTCTTCGTCATTCTATGATCAATCTATTTGATATTTTATTTCATCATCGTCTAGTATTCCTCTATACTTTTGTAAATACAATACCAAGCAATTTTTTCCTAGAGATATAGTAACATATAGAAATTGACTAAGTATCAATTAAAATCGGGTACGAATATTTGTAAGTCATATGATAGAACAAAATATGATAAATGAATTATAGATCCAATGAAAAATGATGGAAGACAAGTACAATAAAGTGATAACCAAGCTCGTGAATCTAGATGAAATGAATTGAATATGTATTCAAATCGATCAGATCAGTTGTGAAAATATTTTTAAATAGTTCATCAGTTGACAAACTAAAATTGAACTTGTTGATTCCCATTGACGATGAATTTCATCCAACAAAATTCTGTTTTTATTTATACTCATAACTACAACATAAAATTCATGTATAATTATGAACGTGATACAGATAATACTATAAGAATATATGTATGAAATTAGTAAATAAATGTTTAAGTAGATTATACCTATTCGATAAACTAATATTAGAGATGATCGTAGAATAGATTATCAAAACCTTTTTGTTGTCTCGTCTGAGAGACAAATAATATCCGAGTGACAAGATTGGATAGAACATGCAAGTTGATTGCATATATTTTTTGTTTTAGAATATATATTGTTATTAAATGGTGACGAATCTAGGATTTTTATGATGAGGGACGATTTCAGTCGAAACCGTATTATCGCACACAATGCACTTCCTCCTTAAATCTGCCACTGTATCATTAGTCATATTCGATGTTTGGTAGAACATTTATGTATTACTAATAATAAATAATTATCTGCATCAAGTTTAGTCATACTAAAAGAGTAAATCAGCCTTGGTTTATTACAGTCGCATTATAAATGATTGGTACGATCCTTGAAAAAAGTATGACGAAAATTTTTTTTATAGGTATACATTACGTATATTCCTTTTTTTTCTTACCTATGACATATACATTATTAATACACCCACCCACACCCACACCATTTCTTTTTTGCTGTTGATATTATTCATATAGTGAGTACAATAATAATGATTTTTATCTTATGTTTTAAGTGAAGTGTTTTTCTTGATACAAATCTAATTTACAGTATGTTTTAACTTGTACAGTCATTAATACAGAAAGTGAGTCGTGATATAGAAGATTTATTTCACTTTTATGTATTATAATCTAGTTTATATGAACTTCTATTAAAATTCTAAGAATATATTTCATGATCTATCTCAAGAGATTCTTAAAATATTGAACATACTTACAAGGGAATATGAAAATAGGTCAAAAAAACTCCATTGAGAAAGATTATGAAATATAATATTCTATTTTTAGCAGAACTGTTCAATTACATTAAAATATTTAATTAATTAATTTGTATTATAGGAAATAGTAGTAAATTATTCTTTAACTAATTTTTCATAAACTTATGAGTTCTTCCATATTTCAATCTTATCAATCACCTTTGATTTTATTATCACTAGCAATATGATAACATCGAAAAAACACGATTCCTTATATTCATACTGTTTTTCTTCAATTCAAATATTTGATAGCCAAATGAAAGAGAAACATGATCATTTACACTGTTTAATTCGATAAGAGATTTAATCTTTTAATAGATTTTTACTTAACAAAAATAGTATAAATATCGTTTACATATAATCATTAAGAAAAACATATGAATTATTTGTTTATAAACAGAACGTCTCGCAATTTTTCTTTTTTTTTTTCTTTAGAGTATTAAATCCAGAAGAGAACAAGTAAATCGTGACGTACATTGGTGTTTACAAGTGACTTTACCTGTATTTACCATGCGTCATATACATTTCTTATTATTATCACATTTTTATACATGAATATTTATAATGTTAGAACTACTTGTCAAATAACGAATATTGATGATTGTGAAAAAGCCTAAGAAGCGGCATGATTATAAATTATTTAGTCGTAAATCACTTCTTATTTGTTTTCATTCGTAAGACTGATTGAATTTTTTTTTTAAATTTTATATTATCACTTTCATTATTTTAGTAAACACCGATTGAAGTCTGATTTATACGCATTAGAAGAAAAATTTCCAAAAAAAAAGTCTCGTTCTCGAGGTATCATTAAAAATGTATATCAAACATACCAATCATTATCTTCAATAGTAATATTAATTTTTCAAATATTTTCTTATATTGATAAAATAACTCGCGAAATATTTTTATTTATTGAAAAACTTGTACAAATTATAAGAGTTATCTATGGATGGATACAAATGATAAGATCAATATTATCTGCTATTCATTTAATAACAACACGTATTATAATATTATCCTCACATGTACATCGTATATTTATTTTATTATCGATTTTATTTCAACCATTTGCAAATGGAAATTTTCAAAATTCTGTTCGATCATTTTCACATTTTATATTTTATTATTATTCATCAAATGGTGCTTGTTATACATTACAAGCTCGAACGCGTCATATTGTTCGAAAAGTTAGACAACGATGGAAAAACAAGCATAGCGGTATAAATGATGATGATGACGATATTTATTATGATGCTTATAGTGATGAATGGGATTGGCTATAGAAACATGTTTTTATATTATATTGTTTTTTTATTTTGAATGTTTATTGTCAAAGTCGAAAGAATGTTAATCTATATTCTTTTTTACTACAATGATAAGAAATAAATCATTGTTATATTATGAAAGATTTGAAAAAAAAGAACCTTGTTATTAACGTGAGTAAAGGTTGATTTCTTTTTTCTTCTTCTCGCATGTCTCAACTTTCATCGGATGACTAATCATTAGTAAGGTCGTATAAATTCATATGAAAATATTTTATTGACAAAAATCGTTGTTCGATCAATATTGTTTTATAAGATTTCAAACTATTTTATTAACTAAATGAGTATTAGATTTTATCACTAAGTAAATAGATTTTAATTTCTTCAAAATACATGTTGGAATAAATCGATATTCCATCAAGGTTACATCTACTTTTACTTCTATTGAATTCTTACTCATATACGATTATATAATTCATGACTAAGAATCAGGCAACATTTTAATGGTTCTTTTCATACGAATGTCTCGCTATTAACTATTTTTTTATGGATATCAATGTATGAATAATTATTTTTAGGTTATTCTTTCTTATTTGTAAACGATTCGTTTGTTAATCAAATTTTTTTGATAATTGCTGTTATTTTTAGAAGATGGGTCATACAGTCTATAAAGAAACAATTTAAGAAATTACATATTAAATAAATCGATAGTTAAATATTCCATTGAGAATTTTATGAGATGATGCGAACTTCTACTAAGATCAGTCATAATCAATATTGACAAAATCTTCAAAGTCATAAATTAGAAAGTATTTCATTTTATCAAGTAAGAAATAATCGCTCACTTGTCCTTTAAAAATACAACTACAGTTAAACGATAAAAACATTCGTTTTTCTATTTGGTATTCTCATAAGAATTTTTTAAGAGATTGATAGACGTTGTTGATTGTGGTTAAATGTCTGAGATATGTGCTGTCAATTCATGCAATCGTGTATCACGTGCTTTATGTCATTGTTGTCAAGAAAATGTTTGTATAGTTCATTTAAATGAACATAATGATAAACTCAACAGTCGATTGAATTCTTTTACAGATATTATTAATCGATTATATAATCGTATTGAAACAATAGATATTCGAAAAATTGTTGATAATTATCGTGAAAAACT